GGTCAACCGTCATCACCACCCTTGACGGCACGCAAGCGACGTGAACCAAGGAAGGGGTGACGACGTGCCTCATCAACGAGGAGATGAGGTGGATCAACTTGAAAGGCGATTCAACGAGTTCGGCTCACTTCACGCGCGGCGCGAAGAAGGGCGTTCTCTACACCAAGCCACGGAATGACCGTGGGCATGCAAGTGGAAGCGCGAGCTCTTCACGTGGTGGACACGCCAACAACAACAACAACCGTGGTCATGCTCGGGAAGGAGCATGCCGGTATTGCAAGAAGGTCGGGCATTGGTGGCGCGAGTGTCGGAGCAAGCCAAGGGATCGGACTCCAACGTCTTCAACTCAAGAGGAGCGGCGCGCGAACGTGGTGACTTCGGGAGAAGACACCAAGGAGCTCGTGTTCATCGCGGGAGAAGGAGCGCTTGGCGGACTCGCATGGCTTCTCGACACGGGAGCTACGCAACACATGACGCCACACGCGGACCTCCTTGAAGACGTCTCGGCGGATGCTCCTATCAAGCGCGTAGTCTTCGGGAATCAAGACTCGCTTGAGGTGAATGGACGCGGAACGTTGCGCCTCGCGGTGGACGGCGGTCCAATGACGATCAACAACGTGTTGGTTGTACCGGGACTCGGCGCCAACTTGCTCTCCGTGTCACAACTCACCACCAAGGGAATGCGTGTCAACATCGAAGGCGCGGTCATGACCTTGAGCACGTCTTCCGGGCGCTTCATCGGCAAAGCGCATCAAGACGGCGGACTCTTCAAGCTCATGGCTACACCGAATCTTGCATCGGCGCACGCGGCGGTGGCGAAGCCTTCATTGGAGATGTGGCACAACCGCTACGGGCACTTGAGCACGTCAACCATCCGCACCATGGCAACTCAAGGCATGGTGCACGGGATCGTCGCCGACTTCTGAACGAACGAGGAGGTGGAGAAGTGCTCGGCGTGTCTTGAGGGGAAGATGGCAAGGAAGTCATTTCCTACAAGTACAACGCCTCTCGCCTCGAACCCGCTCGACCTCGTCCACACCGACTTGTGTGGACCAATCACCCCTACCTCCAAAGGAGGCGCTCGCTACATTCTCACTCTCCTCGACGACGCGACATGCATGGTGTGGGTCTACCTTCACAAGGACAAGAGCGCGACTTCTACGACAATCAAGAAGTGGGTGGCGCTTGTTGAGACGGAGAAAAATGGACAACTCGTGAAGCGGATTCGGTCGGATGGAGGAGGAGAGTACGTCAACAACGAGCTCGACGGGTGGTTCAAGGCACGGGGAACCTTCCACGAAGTATCGGTTCCTCACTCACCTCAACAAAATGGAGCGGCGGAGCGCTTGAACCGCACTTTGGTTGAGGCGGTTAGGAGCATGCTTGCCCATGCTCATGCGGACAAGTCTTGGTGGGGCGAAGCGACAATGTTGGCGACTTGGATTCACAACCGAAGCTTGACCAAGACGTTGCCGAACAAGACCCCCCTTGAGGCTTGGAGTGGGGACAAACCGGATGTCTCCAACCTTCGCACCTTCGGGTGCATTTGCTACTACCACGTCCCCGACGCTACACGCACCAAGCTTGAGGCGAAGGCGCGTATGGGGATGCATTTGGGTCATAGCCTTGATCACAAGGGATGGCGAGTATGGGACTTGGAGAGCGGAAAGTTCGTGGTGTCGCGCGACGTCTCATTCTTCGAGAGCCGCTTCCCAACTCCATCAAGCAACAAACATTCGATCGTGGTCATCCCTCCAACGGTTGATGACACGAACGAGGCATCTTCTAGTGACGTTCCCGAGGAGAGGGGTGTTCAAGACGAGGAGGGAGATGTTGTTGAAGTGGTTGGAGTGGAGAGTGAGAAGGATGGTGGTCCTTCTACCGTCGTCGCTCCAACGCTTGCATCTACTCGCGCTCGAAAAGCTCCTCACCCGAACTCGAAGTACGCCGACTACTCGCTTGTGGTGGAGGATGGTGAGGAAGGGGGAGATGCAATGTGCTTCATGGCCGACTTCACACCTACCACCTACCGTGAGGCGATGGAGACGCTCCAAGCCGGCGATTGGACTCAAGCACTCAATGAGGAGTATGAGTCAACCATTGAAAATGATGTGTATGATCTTGTCCCTTTGCCCCCCAATAGCTACACCGTTGGGTCCCGATGGGTCTTCAAGAAGAAGCTCGGGCCGAATGGTGAGGTGGAGCGATACAAGGCTCGCTTGGTGGCACAAGGGTACACGTAAAAGACCGTGCTTCACTACAACGAGACCTTTGCACCGGTAGCAAAGTCTTCTACCCTTCGTGTTCTCTTAGCTCTAGCAGGAGGGCTTGATCTAGAGGTAGAACAACTTGATGTAAAAACCGCATTTTTATATGGCCACCTAGAGGAGGAGGTGCATATGCGGCAACCGCCGGGGTTCGAGGATGGTACGGACCGTGTGTGCAAGTTGAAGCGCACCATCTACGGCTTGAATCAAAGCCCTATAGCTTGGTACATGAGGATGGACAATTGCTTGCTTGAGTTGGGCTTCACTCGGAGCGAGTGTGATCATGCGCTTTACATCCTCAACCGTGGGGAGAAGAAGCTCGTCCTCCTTCTCTACGTGGACGACCTTCTCCTTGTATCCGATTGCAAGGACCTTGTGGCGGACATCAAGGCGAAGCTTGCATCGGAGTTCTCTATGCGCGACCTTGGTGCCGTGTCATACTACCTCGGCATGCACATCGATCGCGATCGTGCGCACAAGACTCTTCATCTTCACCAACACAAGTACTTGGAGGACGTGGTGGCTCGCTTTGGGATGAGCGAGAGCAAGGCGGCACCCACACCCATGGAAGTGAGGTTCCACCCTTTGGCCACAAGCGAAGAGACCCCTATGGATCCCGAGAAGACCAAGCGCTTTCATTCCATAGTAGGTTCATGCATGTATGCCGCCGTGAGCACCCGTCCCGATCTCTCGTTCACGGTTGGGCTACTTGGGCGAGTATTCTCCAACCCCATGGTGGAGCATGAGCGTGCTTTGCGTCGTCTTCTTCGCTATGTTAGGGGCACTAGTCACCTAGGGCTCCACTATGAAGCCGGGCCGGTAGCACTCATTGGGTTCACGGATTCCGATTGGGCGGGAGATCCTTCTACTCGGCAAAGCACCTCGGGCCTTGTCTTCACGCTCCTTGGGGGAGCGGTGGCTTGGCAAAGCAAGAGGCAAAACTTGATTGCCCTTAGCTCAACCGAGGCCGAGTATGTTGCTCTCAACCGTGGTGGTACCGAGGCCGTGTGGTTGAGGCGTCTCCTAGCCGAGCTAGGATACGAGCAAGAGGGACCCACACCGATCTACGTGGACAACCAAGCGGCAATCAACCTTGCCAAGAACTCGGTCCTTCACGGAAGGACCAAGCACATCCAAATTCGTCATCACTTCATCCGCAAGCTCGTCGAAGACAAGGAGGTGGAGCTACGCTACGTGAAGACCAACGCTCAATCCGCGGACTTCCTCACCAAGCCTTTGCCTAGAGATACCTTTCATGCTTGTTGTGCTAGGGTAGGCTTATATGCATAGGTGCTTGTGGGGACCAAGGGGGAGTGTTGGAGGTCGGTGGGGGGCCAAGTGGTCCCCACTACACACCCCTTCAACCTTACCAAGTGGGGTTGGGTGGCGAGAGATTGGGCGGAGGGTGACGGTGCACTCAAACCAAGAGTTGCACTTGGGTGGTAGAAAACAAAGAAAACAATTGAGGGGTGTTTACAAGTGGGCGGAAAGAACCAAACAAAACGTAAACACATGGCGCAATACAATTGGTCCGACCAATGCAATTGCAAGTTGAATGCATGGACGGAAATGTAAACGGAAAAGGACGTACCTCCTTTTCCGAAATTCCACCGTCAATTTTGCAATGCGGTGGGTTACGAAATTGCACGCGGCTCGGTTACAAATGCGGTTCGACTATAGGGGGTTTCTTGAATTCTATGTTATAGAGTATAAAAACTCTCTCGTCATTGTGAATTGCATCCTCTCTGGAATGTTGTACCCAGCCCTATATTATCAACGACTACATTCTCATTTCTTGGGCAAACTTTGTGTTCTTTGGTGCTACGGATTCGTCACTCAGAGACCTATCCAGAATTAGCTCATACAATTATTTTCATCAAGAACTGAGTTCACGACGGCGTTTCAAAACATACGGATTTCCTGCACCCAGCACCTCCTCCCAGCTCTACCGATTTCAGGCTCCTCCTGATCACGGCGGTAGCGGGTCTAGTTTCTAATAGCTTCCGAATTGAGCATATTGAATCCGTCTTGATCTTAGAATTATTCCTAAGATCCCAGGAGGACGGAACTGGGGGAAACGGAGAAGCAGCCCGCTAGGTCGATGGTAGCGGGCTGAGAGACCAGCATTGCCGTTCTACGCTCGACTAAGCATGTCGGGGTGAACAGTCTTACTTCCTCGTAGTTTTCAGAAGTTTTAGATGTCCTTTCAAAAGAGGACATCAGTACATTGTTTTCAGGCGCTCACGTACTTTCGGCTTTCAAAGCTTACGCGCTCAGGAACGTTAGGACTTCCGCTCCTATCTCGCATTCTCGCATTGCTTTCTTCGCGTTAATAAAAAAAAGTGCTACCGGGATAGCACCTACTGCTGCAAATCCGATCTTGCCATTTGCCTACCAGAACAGCTGTGCTCTTCAGGGCCTCCTCAGGGAGGTTTGCAGAAAATCTTGAAACAGAGGGCTCTCCTTTCGAGTCCTCGGGCCTAGTGCTGCCGTTCGCCTCGTCTAAAGTGCATTGCTGACCAGATTGAACGGAAAATGGGGAAGAGTAAGTTCATCATCACACCATGCTCTTATGCTTTCTTTCTTCCTTTCTTTCTTTCATCCGCATCTCCTGCAGGACTTGAACCTTGCATATCGCATCCGTTTTTTCCCTCGCAGTTACTCTTGCACTACGTCTGTGTGCTCGCTTGCCGTATGATTTCACCTGTTTAATGGACCAGGAAGCTAGGCAACATGCACACGGATCTCTTAACTTCCCCTGTGCACTGCTGTGCTCTCTTTGGCTTTCGTCCATCATCTCCGCTTCCCGCGTTTCTGTCCCTGTTCCTTCGTTACATGGTTCTTGCGGGTTCCGAGCGCGTCGACTATGCGGACGGCACGACGAGCAACGGCGACTTTTCGAACCGACTGCCTGCTCTGCTGCCATGCTTGTTTCCCCCCTTCCTCCCCTCCTTCCTCCTCTGCGTGTGGGCCCCTGCCAGGTCGACAACTTGCGAGGCGGCGCTCAAGGGCCTGGCGACCACTCTGGCGTCGCAAGTGCACGGGGAGCTCCTGCAGGACAAGTAAGGCTTCTGAAGGGGGGTGCGCGTGGGGAAAAAAAAGGTGGAAGTGGTTTGTGTGTGTGCGCGTGTGTGTAGGCGGGTGTGTGTGGGTGTGTGTGTGCGCTTGTGTGTAGGCGGGTGTGTGTCCGTGTGTGTGTGTGCGTGTGTTTGTGTGTGTGTGTGTGTGAATGTGTGCGCGTGTTTGTGGGAGTGTGTGTGTGCGCGTGTGTGTGCTCGTTTGTCACCCTCTAGCAGGCTGCACTCGCTTCTCTTATGTCCTCTCTAAGGCCTCGTACCTGACCTACTTAGTCTACTCTACCCTCCCTCCTGCCCCTTCCAATGCCCCCAGGTTCAACACTCTCACGCAGGGTTTCTCTCGTGCCTTAGGAAGGGCAAGGCCCCCGAGCAAGTTCTCGCTGCCCGCTGCCTTGGTGAGCGCTCCCTGCTCTTGTAATTACGACCGATACCCCCTGCGCAATAGCTGCTCTCCTCTCCCTTCCTCGTCTGTTCCCCCTTCCCGTCTCCCGCCCCCTCCCCAAGATAGCTCTCCTTTCTCTTTTCTTCACCCCAACCACACGTCCTCTTGCCTTAGGTACGTTTGATTAGTGCAAGGAGCTGCTCTCTCGTCCCTACCTTGTCTGTTCCTCCTCTTCCTCCCCTCTCCTCACCACCCCCTCCCCCTCCCCCTCCCCTCCCCGCTCCCCTCTCTGCTCCTCTACCTCTCCACCCCACTCGCTTTTCGAGTCCGAACCGACCACTGTTTTCCTCCTCAAGATGCCTCTGCTTTTAATCTTCCCTTAGCACACACCCGCACCCCCCAGGTCTGCTGGCGCTCACCCTAGGGGCGTCTGATTCGTGCGAGGAGCTGCTCTCCTCGTCGTTGCCGCATCTGAGCAAGCTCGCTCGTGCTGCTGGCTGTGAGTGGGGCAACCAAAAGAACAGGGGGCGAGAGGAGGTAAGGGGGAAAAGAGGGCAGGAGGGAGGGAGGGAGGGAGGGGGGGGGGGGGGGGGGGGGGGGGGGGGAGGAGGGAGGGAGGGAGGGAGGGAGGGAGGGAGGGAGGGAGGGAGGGAAGGAGGGAGGGAGGGAGGGAGGGAGGGAGGGAGGGAGGGAGGGAGGGAGGGAGGGGAGGAGGAAGGGGAGGAGGGAGGGAGGGAGGGGAGGAGGGAGGGGAGGAGGGAGGGGAGGAGGGAGGGAGGGAGGGAGGGAGGGAGGGAGGGAGGGAGGGAGGGGAGGAGGAAGGGGAGGAGGGAGGGAGGGAGGGGAGGAGGGAGGGGAGGAGGGAGGGGAGGAGGGAGGGAGGGAAGGAGGGAGGGAGGGAGGGAGGGAGGGAGGGAGGGAGGGAGGAGGGAGGGAGGGAGGGAGGGAGGGAGGGAGGTGGGGAAGGAATGCACATGCCACGAAAGAAAGTGCTCGTTCTGAGACGCCTCACAACGCCCCTCTGCCTCCTGGCCCGTTCCTCGTCTTTTCCATCCTCTCGCTTTCCTTAACCTTTTCCTCCTCTCGCTTCCCTCTTCTTGACTCTTCCTTCTCCCTTCCCTTGCCTTATCCCTCCTCTCCCGTCCCTCGCTCAATCCCTCTACTCCGTTCCCTCGCCTTATCCCTCCTCTCCCCTCCCTCGCCTTGCCGCATCCTCTCCATTCTTTCGCCTTGCCCGTCCTCCCTCCTCCTGTAGATTTATCTTCCCCCCCCTCCCATTTCCCCCCCGCAGTGTCTAGACGCCATGGCCATCATCACCTTCGTGGGGGCCAGGGACGCACATGTGACGGAGGAGAGCATGAGCTTGCTGTGGCTCGTCGCCAACCCTCAGGTGAGGTGCAGGGTTTAGGTTTCAGAGCTCAAGTTTTTGGGTCCGAGAGCTTGGGGTTTGCTAGCATTTGCACATGCCACGGAGGAGAGCATGAGCCTGCTGTGGTGTGGCTCCTCGCCAACCCTCAGGTGAGGTGTTTGGGTTTTGAAGTCTGGCGTTTACTAGCTCGCGCATGCTACAGAGGAGAGCATGAACCTGCTGTGGCTCCTCGCCAACCCGTAGGTGAGGTTCAGGGTTAAGGTTTCAAGGACAAGGTTTGGGTTCGAGGGTTTGTCGTTTATTAGCAATGGCACATGCCACCGAGGAGAGCATGTGCCTGCTCTGGCTTGTCGCAAACCCCCAGGTGAGGCTCGGTGCTAACCTTGTTATTTTTAAAAGGGGAGGAATGCAGGGGTGCAGGGATGCGTGCAGGGACGCAGGGGTGCATGCATGGTGCAGGGTTGAGGGTTTAGAGGACGCTGATGCCAGGGAGGAGAGCACGAACCTGCTCTCCGTCCTACTCAACAAACTCAACCCACTCTCAACACCCCCCACACCCCCCCCCCCTCACCTCCCTGCGTGCCTTCCGTTTTCAGGGCGTCAGCAAGACAGTGGTACCAGCAGCAGTGAGGGGATCAGCCATCAGCAACTGGACCCTGCTGCTCTCCACGCTGCCCTCCACTCAGCTCTTGCAGTTCCACATCCGCAGGTGAGTCAGCTCTCTGAATGAACTCGTGTGCATAAAGATTGGTCCCTCTCATAGTCAGTAATCAGCAATTGGACCCTACTGCTCTCCACGCTTCCCTCCACTCAGCTCTCGCAATTCCACACCCGCAGGTGAGTCAGCTTTTTGAATGAACTCGTGTGTGCAGTGTTCATTCTCGTTACTTCTCGTTTCAGTCTCTTGCCAGCTGTACGCTACTGCTCTCCACGCTGCTCTCTACTCAGCTCTCGCAGTTCCAAGCCCGTAGGTGAGACAGCTCTTTTAGTGAGCTCGTGTGCATAAAGAGTGGTACCTCTCATAGTCAGCCATCAGCAACTGGATGCTGCTGCTCTCCACGCTGCCCTCCTCGCAGCTTGCACAGTTCCACACCCGCAGGTGCTTCTGTCTCGCTGCCTGTAATCCCATTATTTCAAGTCTCTCCCTTCACTCTCTCCCTTCACAACCTGTGAGGTGGAAGTTTTCTCTCGCTGTTTGCAAGACACGGACATGGGCGTGAGGGGACTGACAGGCAGGCGAGGCCACAGCGCTCGTTCTCCCTTCACCCCCGTTTTTTCCCTACTCGTCTCTCCCTTCACTCCCACACATCCCCCACAACCAGTGAGCTGGAAGTTCTCTCTTGCTGTCTGCATGACGCGGACATGGGATGGGAGTGATGTGGGGCGCATGCGAGGCCACCACCCAACTTCTTAGTTCCCTCCTCACACCCCACTATACCCCTTCGCATCTCTCCCTTCCACTCCTCACGTTTCAGTGAACTTGAAGTTCTCTCCCGCTGTCTGCAAGACGCGGACTTGGGAGTGAGGGGGGCGGCAGACGAGGCCATAGCACTCGTTCCTGCCTTACCGCAGTTAACCCCCTGCCCGTCTCTCCCCCGCCCTCCCACGCCCCACGTTCCAGTGAGCTGGAAGTTCTCTCCCGCTGCCTGCAAGACGCGGACTAAGGTGTGAGGTGCGGCAGGCGAGGTTATAGCACTCGTTTTCCCTTCCCTTACCACCTTCACCATTTCCCTTCCCTCCCTCCCTCCCTCACACCTCACAACCAGTGAGCTTGAAGTTCTCTCCCGCTGCCTGCAAGACGCGGACTTGAATGTGAGAGGAGCAGCAGGCGAGGCCATAGCACTCGTGCACGAGCACTGCCCTGCGGACGCTGCCGACGAAGCTGGGAGCGGTGCAGGCTTGGGAGGAGGCTCGGCGAATGGCTTGGCAAACGGTGGCGGGAACGGTGGTGTGGAGAGCAGTGACTCGGATGACTCTATTGTGGATGGGGTGGTGCTGCCTGATAAACCCGTGGGAGGTCAGTCCGCCTTGGCTTGACCCCCGGAGGTAGTAGCAGTTATGCTTTACTGTGCTATTTGCTGCTGTACGGTGCGGTGCTGTACTGTGCGGTGCTGTGGAGAGAAGTGACTCGGATGACTCTATCGTGGATGGGGTGGTGCTGCCTGATAAACCCGTGGGAGGTGAGTGGACCTTATTTCTAGCAAATTAAATTTGGGAGGCGGTACAGGCAACGGTGCATGTCCCAGTGCTGTGCTGCACGGTTCTGTGCTGTACTTTGCGGTGCAGTGGAGCGCAGTGACTCGGGGTGGTGCTGCCTGATAAACCCATGGGAGGTCAGTCGTCCTTGGCTTGGCCCAGCAGTTACTCGTTGGTGGGTGGGTGGTGCGTGTGGTGCTGGCAATGTATCATGGTGCAATGCAGCACAGTACATTTTAGTGCTGGAATGCAATTCATACCCCATACCCCATGCCATGCCACATGCCTCTTGTGCCCCATGCCCCGTGCCCCGTGCCCCATGCTCCATGCCTCTTGTGCTCCATACCCCATACCCAGTGCCCCACAGGTGGGCGCCAGGGCAGTGGAACAGCACAGAGGGCGGTGGAGCAGATGCAGCAGATGAGGTGACCGTTAAGGCAACTCATACCCCATGAGTTGTAACTCATACCCCATGAGTTGTAACTCATACCCCATGAGTTGTAACTCATACCCCATGAGTTGTAACTCATACCCCATGAGTTGTAACTCATACCCCATGACATGGGCATCCCTTGGTCTTGTACAACAGGTGGGCGCCAGGGCAGTGCGACGGTGCAGAGGGCGGTGGAGCAGATGCAGCAGCTGACGGTGGGCAGCAGCAAGCAGATGACCAAGAAAGACCGCCTCTCCCAGCGCCTGGCGTTTCGGGAGATCCTCGGGTGTATTCGTGTGAGTCACTCTGTGTGATGCTTTCTGGATGATCCTGGGTGCATGGGTGCATGGGGGGCTGCAACAGTCAACGAGATGCAGCAGATGACAGTGGGCGGCAGCAAGCAGATGAGCAAGAAGGACCGACTTTCCCAGCGCCTGGCGTTTGGATGCTTGCTGTCCCTATAGCAGTGAGGGAGAGGGTAGCAATTAACGCTGCCCAGCATGAACGTTTGCTGCTCTGAGTTGCTCCTTCCCGCCCCCTCGCCCCTCATCAGGGCAACTGGCATTGCTTTGGGACCCTGCTTCCCTCCCAACCACACCTTCCCACGCCTTCCCACTCCCTCCCACCCTCTCCCACCTCCTCCCGCCCCCTCTCGTCCTCATCAGGACAGCGGGCGTTGCTCCGAGACGGTGATCAAGCTGGAACGCGGCGCTTCTTTTGAATATCTTCTCATAGCCCCACTTCCTCCCACCCTTTCCCACCCCTTACCACCCCTCTCATCCTCGTCAGGGCAGCGGGTGTTGCTCCGAGACGGTGATCAAGCTGGAACACGACGCTTCTTTTGAATATCTTCTCATAGTCCCACTTCCTCCCATCCCTTCCCACCCCTCGCATCCTCATCAGGACAATGGGCGCTGCTCCGAGACGGTCATCAGGCTGAAGCACGGCGACTCGCTGCGTGTCGACACGTGGACGCTGACAGTGCAGGTGAGGCAGTAACATGGGGATGCTGACAGTGCATGTGAGCAGTTGGCACGTGGACAATGAGGTCTTGCAAGCCATCAAGAAAGGCGTGTGCTCGACAGATAGTAGTACCTGCGCCTTTATCATGTTGTGCTTATCGCCCAACTTGGCATCGCCATTCCTTCTGACGCCTTGCTCGCTGGCTCTGTATCTTCATTCCGTCCCACCTTTTGCCCTGCTTCTTCTCGTCCCATCCTCCATCCCTTGTTTAGCTAAATGCTCTTCGGAGGTTCCTAGCGGACGGCTTTCAACGCCATTTGCAGGTGCGACCCCTCCTCCTGCCCTCCTCCCTCCTGCCCTCCTCCCTCCTGCCCTCCTCCCTCCTCCCTCCTGCCCTCCTCCCTCCTGCCCTCCTCCCTCCTGCCCTCCTCCCTCCTGCCCTCCTCCCTCCTGCCCTCCTCCCTCCTGCCCTCCTCCCTCCTGCCCTCCTCCCTCCTGCCCTCCTCCCTCCTGCCCTCCTCCCTCCTGCCCTCCTCCCTCCTGTCCTCGTCTGCTCCTCCCTCCTGCCCTCCTCCCTCCTGCCCTCATCTGCTCCTCCCTCCTGCCCTCCTCCCTCCTGCCCTCATCTGCTCCTCCCTCCTGCCCTCCTCCCTCCTGTCCTCGTCTGCTCCTCCCTCCTGCCCTCCTCCCTCCTGCCCTCATCTGCTCCTCCCTCCTGCCCTCCTCCCTCCTGCCCTCGTCTGCTCCTCCCTCCTGCCCTCCTCCCTCCTGCCCTCATCTGCTCCTCCCTCCTGCCCTCCTCCCTCCTGCCCTCCTCCCTCCTGCCCTCCTCCCTCCTGTCCTCGTCTGCTCCTCCCTCCTGCCCTCCTCCCTCCTGCCCTCATCTGCTCCTCCCTCCTGCCCTCCTCCCTCCTGCCCTCATCTGCTCCTCCCTCCTGCCCTCCTCCCTCCTGCCCTCATCTGCTCCTCCCTCCTGCCCTCCTCCCTCCTGTCCTCGTCTGCTCCTCCCTCCTGCCCTCCTCCCTCCTGCCCTCATCTGCTCCTCCCTCCTGTCCTCCTCCCTCCTGCCCTCCTCCCTCCTCCCTCCTGCCCTCCTCCCTCCTGCCCTCCTCCCTCCTGCCCTCCTCCCTCCTGCCCTCATCTGCTCCTCCCTCCTGCCCTCCTCCCTCCTGCCCTCGTCTGCTCCTCCCTCCTGCCCTCCTCCCTCCTGTCCTCGTCTGCTCCTCCCTCCTGCCCTCCTCCCTCCTGCCCTCATCTGCTCCTCCCTCCTGCCCTCCTCCCTCCTGTCCTCGTCTGCTCCTCCCTCCTGCCCTCCTCCCTCCTGCCCTCATCTGCTCCTCCCTCCTGCCCTCCTCCCTCCTGCCCTCATCTGCTCCTCCCTCCTGCCCTCCTCCCTCCTGCCCTCATCTGCTCCTCCCTCCTGCCCTCCTCCCTCCTGTCCTCGTCTGCTCCTCCCTCCTGCCCTCCTCCCTCCTGCCCTCATCTGCTCCTCCCTCCTGCCCTCCTCCCTCCTGCCCTCGTCTGCTCCTCCCTCCTGCCCTCCTCCCTCCTGCCCTCATCTGCTCCTCCCTCCTGCCCTCCTCCCTCCTGCCCTCCTCCCTCCTGCCCTCCTCCCTCCTGTCCTCGTCTGCTCCTCCCTCCTGCCCTCCTCCCTCCTGCCCTCATCTGCTCCTCCCTCCTGCCCTCCTCCCTCCTGCCCTCATCTGCTCCTCCCTCCTGCCCTCCTCCCTCCTGCCCTCATCTGCTCCTCCCTCCTGCCCTCCTCCCTCCTGTCCTCGTCTGCTCCTCCCTCCTGCCCTCCTCCCTCCTGCCCTCATCTGCTCCTCCCTCCTGTCCTCCTCCCTCCTGCCCTCCTCCCTCCTCCCTCCTGCCCTCCTCCCTCCTGCCCTCCTCCCTCCTGCCCTCCTCCCTCCTGCCCTCATCTGCTCCTCCCTCCTGCCCTCCTCCCTCCTGCCCTCGTCTGCTCCTCCCTCCTGCCCTCCTCCCTCCTGTCCTCGTCTGCTCCTCCCTCCTGCCCTCCTCCCTCCTGCCCTCATCTGCTCCTCCCTCCTGCCCTCCTCCCTCCTGTCCTCGTCTGCTCCTCCCTCCTGCCCTCCTCCCTCCTGCCCTCATCTGCTCCTCCCTCCTGCCCTCCTCCCTCCTGCCCTCATCTGCTCCTCCCTCCTGCCCTCCTCCCTCCTGCCCTCATCTGCTCCTCCCTCCTGCCCTCCTCCCTCCTGTCCTCGTCTGCTCCTCCCTCCTGCCCTCCTCCCTCCTGTCCTCGTCTGCTCCTCCCTTCTGCCCTCCTCCCTCCTGCCCTCATCTGCTCCTCCCTCCTGCCCTCCTCCCTCCTGCCCTCATCTGCTCCTCCCTCCTGCCCTCCTCCCTCCTGCCCTCATCTGCTCCTCCCTCCTGCCCTCCTCCCTCCTGCCCTCATCTGCTCCTCCCTCCTGCCCTCCTCCCTCCTGCCCTCATCTGCTCCTCCCTCCTGCCCTCATCTGCCCCTTGTCCGGCTGAATGCCCTCCGGAGGTTCCTAGCAGGTGTGCCCTCTCCTCTTCCCTCCCTGCCTGCCTCCTCCTCTCCTGCCCTACTCCATCCCTGCCTGTCTCCTCCTCTCCTGCCCTCGTCCGTCCCTGCCTCGCTGCCCTCCTCTACTCCCGCCCTCCCTCTTGCTCCTTTATCAAAGTTACTGGCACGCTTGATACGTTGCTCATACAGTCTCTTGCTCTGACAGTGCTTTACACAACTGAATCAGCTCATTTTTTCGGCACCAGCAACAGGGATGGGGGGGTGCCCATCCTCCCTGTCCCTAACAGTCTCTGTGACTGCGGTGCCAACACTATCTGGCTCCGCTGCATTGCTCCTTGAGTCTGCTGGAGCGGTTCCTTACGACTCCTTGACGGCTTTTCCAACTCCAGTGACGTTTTTTCAAGCTGCCTTGGCGGTTTGGTAATCTGTTTTGGTTGTTGTTAAGTTGCCTCGGCGGTTCTTGAGACTGCTCTGGCAGATCGTAGGGCGATTGTGGCGGGCCCTAGGCTGGGCTGAATTCGTTGGCAGCAGCACGTGTTGACCATGGCTCCCTGTGGTCCATGTGTCAGCGCGTCTGTAGCTGCTGATGCCAGACTCCCACCCACATGCCTTGGGATTGGTTCGGACCAACACCCCTTTTTCCATCCCATCAATGCAACCATACCTCCATTAGGTCTTCATGAATCATCACGCCTTTATCAGGCCTGCAGCTACCAGCTACCTTCCCTCCCTCCCTCCCTATTCATACCCAGCTTTATTGCCCATTTGCGCTTCCTCCCTCCCTTCTTCTCTCCTGCGCTCGCTCGTGAATCACGCAGTTCTTAGCATTGATAAACCATCTCAATCCTCCACTACACTCACGGCACAATTCCTCGTCGCATCGGCACCAGCAGCAGGGATGGGGAGGTCCCCATGCTCCCTGTCCCTCCCAGTGACCTCATCCCAACCTTGGGGTGCAGTCACTGCGGTGCCGACACTGACTGGGTCCCCTGCACTGCTCCTTAGAACTGCCTCCGTGGTTCTTAAACTGCCTTGACGGGTTTTTGGACTGCCTTGCCAGTTTTTGCGAACTGGTCTGGCGGTTCTTAAGTCTGTCTTGGCTGATATTAAGAACTGCCTTGATGGTTTTGAGGGCAGCTGTGGCAGGCCCGAGGCTGGGCTGAATTCGTTGGCAGCAGCACGTGTTGACTCACGTGTCTGTGGCTGCTGATGCCAGACTCCCACCCACATGCTGTGAGAGGCTTCTAAACACACTAGGGTAACTGTGGCGGGCCCTAGGCTGGGCTAAATTCGCTGGCAGCAGCACGCGTGGGCCATGGCTCCATGGGTCCATGAGTCAACGTGTCTGTGGCTGCTGATGCCAGACTCCCACCCACATGCTGTAAGAGGATTCATGCGCTGGCTTGAAACTGAGTGCCCGCCTTAATGGGCTTTAGAATCCCACCTACCCACCCGTTCCCACTACCCTTCCCCATACATTTTTTCCCCATATACCTCCCCTCCAACCCCCCTCCCCCCTTCCACCAGGACAGCGAGTTGCTGCACCAGGTGTTCAGCCTACCAGCCTCGCATGGAGAAGAAGGAGGTGTTCCAAACCCAACCCCCCTCTTCCCCCCCCTTCCCCCTGCCCCCGCCCCCCTTCTGCCCTCCCCCCTCCCCCTTTCCACCAGGAGAACGAGGTGCTGCACCAGGTGTTCAACTACCAGCCTCGCCTGGAGAAAAAGGAGGTATTCCAGACCCACCCCCACCTCTTTCCCCCCCGCCCCGCCCCGCCCCCGTTCTGCCCTCCCGCATCACACACACCACCAGGAGAACGAATTGCTGCACCAGGTGTTCAGCTACCAGCCTCGCATGGAGAAGAAGGAGGTCTTCCAAACCCACCCACCCCCCCCCCCCCCCCCCCCCCCCCCCCCCCCCCCTCTCCCCCCTCCCCGTCCCACCCGCCCCCGCCCCCCTTCCGCCCTCCCGCCTCACACACACCACCAGGAGAATGAGCTGCTGCACCAGGTGTTCAGCTATCAGCCTCGCATGGAGAAGAAGGAGGTCTTCCAAACCGCCGTACAGAAGGTGAGCGGTGGGCAGTGGTGGGAAGTGGTGGGCAGTGGTGGGCAGTGGTGGACAGTGGTGGGAAGTGGTGAAATATCACAGCTCTGCACAGCTACCAGCCTTGCATGGAGAAGGAGGTTTTCCAACCTGCCTTGCAGAAGGTGAGGAGGGGGGGGGGGGATTGCAGTGGCCAAAGTGGGAGGTGATGTTCTCGAATCTTCAAGAGCCGTGCAAAGTTGAGTTGAATGGCATCCTCCCCAATCCCCTCTTCCCTCCACATCCCCACCTTCCTCCATATCCCCTCCTCCCTCCACGTCCCCTCCCCCATCCACATCCCCCCCCACCTCCATATCCCCTCCCCCCTCCACAACCCTCCCTTCTTGGCAAATAACCCACTTGCCATGCCCATACTTCCAGTCCCAACTGCTCCCATTTGCTCCCTGTCTCAATTCTCTTCACCCATTCGTCCTGTCCTTTCGTCCTCTCCCCCCCTATTTCTTGGCTTTGCTTCCCCCCTCACCTCCCCTTCAGCCTACGATCCTCTGTCCAAATTCCGAGGCCAGTCGCAACCACTATGTGGCTCACAGGCTTCTGAAGCATCAGCTCATCCCACATGTCCTGCCCTTCCCTCCCTCCTCCTCCAGGGCCAGTCGCAACCGCTCCGTGGCTCGCAGGCTTGTGAAGCATCAGCTCAATCCCTCGCCACCCACTTGTCCTGCCCTTCCCTCCACTCCCCCCTATTCCTTGGCTCTGCTTCCCCACCCTCCTCTCCTTAAGCCTATGATCCTCTCTCCAAACTTCGAGGCCAGTCGCAACCCCTCTGTGGCTCGCAGGCTTGTGAAGCACCAGCCACACAAGCTCAATCCTCCACCATTCGTCCTGCCCCTCCCTCCTCCACCCTGCTATTTCTTGGCTTGGTTCCCCTCCCCTCAGCGTATGATCCTCTCTCCCAACTGCGAGGCCAGTCGCAATCGCTCTGTGGCTCGCAGGCGCAGCCGTCTTGCAGCTCAGGTCAGCTCCAATCAATGTTGGTCGATTCAAGTCAACGCTGGTCAATTCAAGTCAACGCTGGTCAATTCAAGTCAACGCTGGTCAATTCAAGTAATCGCTGGTCAATTAAAGTAATCGCTGGTCAATTCAAGTCAATGCTGGTTAATTGAGGTCAGGTGCAGCCATACTGCAGCACAGGCCAACTCCAGTCAATACTGGTCAATGTACCAATAATGCTCTCTGGTGTACCAATATACATTTTTGTTTCTGCCCTCCTGGTTGTGCCCCTCTCATTTTCCTGCCCTCCTGGTTGTGCCCCTCTCCTTCTCCTGCCCTCCTGGCATCTCTTCCCTCTCCTCTCACTTCTCTCTCCCTCTCTCCATTCCCTGACCCTGCCTCTCGTTGTCTGATCTCCCTTGCAGGAAAGCAACTTTTCTTTTTTCGCTCATGACGACTGACCTTGGAAACACATGCAGCTGCTGTACTACCGTACCATTTTTTGGAGATAGCAGTGTACATTCAAATAAAAGCAACTCTCCTCTTGCACTCCAACAATTAAATTACCGTGTGTTATATAAAAGTTGAGCGAAAAGCATGAGCGAAGTTATATAGCGAAGCTAGTGTGGTAACGGTAATGCGGGAAATTGGGGTGCGCTACGGGCCTAGCGCTGAGGTTGGGAATTGTCGAGGCGGGGGTCCGGAGCGCGGGCAGGGACGTTGCTACGGTAGTTAAAAACCCCGTCTGAGAATCAGACCTGAAAATTTTCCTTCGTCTGAGCATCAGATGAAATTTTACAGCTAGTTTGGAAATTCAGACGAATTGGTTTCCCAAGTCTGTAAATCCATATGGAAAAAAAACACACGTCTAAAGGTATTTAAAGAACAAACGTTGAAAAGCATTTTTCCAAATAGCGCATGCCTTTGTTGGGATAACCGAAAGGTTATCACAAGCATTCCCGAAGGCTCTCCACTGTCGCATCTCTTCATAGCGAAGCAGATGCTTGTACCAGTACCGCATGAGCTCGTATAGAGCACGCGGAAGTTCGAGAGTCACCCGAAGGTCAACAGTCAAAGACAGTCAACGGTCGTGACCCTTGACTACCCAGTAACCGCACAAGGCAGTTGCGAAATGCAACATGGTAACTGTCTAGAACGGCAATAGTCGCGGGTTACTGTAGCAATGCAATTCAGTTAATAAGGGAATGTACCCCTCAGAGTACATGGCTAGCTAGGCTTTCTATTTATACTCTTATACTCCTATCTTAATCATCTTGTTCTCTTTCAATTTATTAACAAGGTCATTACAGAGACTTCACAGTTCTCTCCTTTACACTTGGCAACCTTATCCTATCCACTACGATTCTTAGTTATAACATCATGGTATGAGAGCTAGAGTGGATTATAAGGCCTGCTAAGTTCTTGTTCTTGCTAGAACAAACTCATAAATTATTCTTTACAACATCAAAGACTCTGCATCACCATGGCTCCAGAAGGAAAAGCCACTGCAGAATCTCCGGGCCCACCATCAGCAACACCCACTGCACCATCTGCGGTGACCTCCGTCAGCGCCGCTCTCGTTGAGCAGCTGGTCGCCCGCATCAATGCTCTTGAAAGCCATCAAGCCATGAGCATCGATGGCTCAAGCTTCGCACGTGGGGTTGCTGGACTTCCTCTCCCTGGAGAAGACCGCCGCGTCAACTCTGAGAGATCATTCACGTTTGACAACCGTCAAGCTTCAGCTCCTGCGCAAGACAGTCAACAACGCGCACACGCAGATACGATTGCAGCAATACATACAAAATTTGTTATGACATCAAAGCTGAAGACATCAGTTCCTTTCAACGGAAAGGACTTCTACACTTGGAGCTTCGAGTTTGAGCTCCTCGCTACAAATGCGCAAATTTGGATGTACTACGACGGGAGCTTACCGTTTCCAACGGAAGGCACCATCCAAGAGAAGAACCAATACTACCACGAATCTCTTCTCGCGTACACCACTTTGCTCCGAAATCTCTCCCCCGACGAACAGCTCGGCATTCGCTCCTACAAATCAGAGTGGGTACCCGCGTATGCCTCCTGGGAGCACCTGCGCAACTCATACATGGCAACAGATCCAGTTACAATGAGTTGCCTTCTCAGCCAGCTCACATCAGTCAAAATGCATCAAGGGGAGAAAGCGGGACCTTATATCAACCGGTGCCGCAATCTGCGCGACCACATCAAGAAGTGCGGTGGATCAGTCCCAGTCGACATGTTCGTCTCAATGGTCCTCTCCGGTCTCGGACCCGACTGGCGTCAATGCCAATCTCTGCTCCGTGCTCGAGCAACTGTCTCCGAATCGGCCCTGTGCCCCACTCTTCTCTCCGAGCAAAAGGAGATCGACCTGTACAACGAGAAGAATACCAAGCGTGAGAAATTAGTCTTCTACGTTGGAGCAACCGAAGGGGAGCAGCACGGAAAGAAGGGAATTTTCTGCAAGTACTGCAAGAAGCCTGGGCACACTATTGATCGGTGCTACAAGCGAAAGGCAGCCGACGAAAGGCGCAACAACCCCTCAAACCCTTCTACGCCCTCCGCTGCATCAACCACCGTCTCGCCTCCCTCCGTCGCAAGCACCTCGCAGACACCTGCACGCATTACGACCAAGGACAAAGGCAAGGGGACAATCATGAGCTGCATGGCTCGCCGCAACAGAGGTTTTTGTTACTATGATCGAGTAACATTCGCACTTGATGACCCTATCAACCCTGTTGCGCCCAGACAGGACAACGACCCCACTGCCCCCACCTGGTACAACTTACAACAGAGGCACCCACCTGATTTCGAGCTGCCACCGCCGACACCAGAATCACCTCCCAGCATCTCAGCGAACCGGTACTTCGCTCTCTCGCCATACACCGGCGAAATGGATCGCGTGGCCACGCCAAAAATCGCCAACATCGCGCGACAGAGCCGCGAAACCATTAACACCTGGTACCTGGACAGTTGCTGCGGGCAGCACATGGTGGGATCGCCAACATTCATCACCAACTCCAAACGCATGCGTCGACCCTGCGAGATCACAGTGGCAAACGACGGCACACTCAAAGCATACGACATCGGTGAGATTTTCCTTGAAGCTGACGACACACACTTCACGATTCACATCGGCGATGTGCTCGTCGCTCCAGATCTGCGGTACAACCTCCTTTCCTCGGATCAGCTTATGCGGTGCGGAGTCGATATTCGAAGCAACCGCAAGGACAAGACCTTCGAACTCTTCTACGGCAACACTTACATTGGCAAAGTCGTGGACAACGACGGGGTCTTCATGCTGCAGTTCTCAGCTCAGGGCACCTCAGGAGACTCTCACCGCACCCTGCTGTTGAAGACAACCACTGCAGAAGCTCCAACCTGGTCACATCCCACAGAGATGGATCTCGAGCGACCCGCCTCGGACGGCCTCCTACGACTGCGTACGGTCCCAACAGCCTCGACCTCCAACCCAGCTGAGACCGGACCTGCATCAATGGAAGAAGACATCGGGACGTCAGCATCTGCGGAACAATCCGCCAAAGGAAAAGAGAAGGTCGGAACCGAACCAGTCAGTCCTGGCCCTGCACTCGGTCCCTTGGGAGAAGTTCTAACACCAGAGGAAGTGGCGGCAGAAGGACGAGACACCATCTCGGCATCCGAAGGCACCGCCACTGCTCCTACAGATGACGGCGCTGGGGACTGGGGAACTGGTGGCGGCTGGGGAACCGGAGGAACTGGTGGCGGCTGGGGAACCGGAGGAACTGGAGGCGGATGGGGAACATCAACTAGCGAAGAAGGCTGGGGTCAAGCTGCTCCTGCCTATCCCGAAGCTCCGGGACTCCCTTCAGCGGAAACCGCGGCAATCGATCCCTACTGGGCAACGCGCGGCACCAGCTGGGGCGGACCTCCTCTCCCCGATCAATACGCTCCTGACACACCAGAACCCATGCAAGAAGAGTCAGAGGAGGAAGAAACATATGAATTCTTCCGAGAAGCAGCAGAACTACCAGCGCCTACCGAGGAGCCGGCGCCACCAGTACAAGGTCCCCAGGAGATTGAAGTCATCGGGGCCGAGTATAGCTACTTCCGAATTCCCATGAAGGGGCTCCCAGTTCGCGACTGGCCCAATCAGTGCCTGCTTGTTACTGGAGACCAAGTTGACGCCGGCGACACCCACGACATCATTGGTATTCCCCACGCGCTTCTGGAACGAAAGTCGATTCATGCGTTCGCCACCGACGCTGACGACGCCGCCGACGCGGGACCTAAAGGGGAGGCAAACGACGAAGCAGCAAGACAGAAATATTATCAGAAAACAGTGGGCTACCGTGCGGAACCATAAATCTGGCATCAACGGCTCGGGCATCCTTCTCACACGACACTCAA